CCTAGGACTTCATTATTTTACTCTGTGTAACACCAGATAATTGAGTCTTGAGCACTAAATTATGGGACCTGGTGTTATTTTCATGGTTGTTCTGAAATGATGACCATGTGTATCCAGTGTAAGCAAAGCATATTGTATTCTTCAATGAGCTTGCTGATTATAATTACTTTGATGTTCCAAAGTGATATTAAATGACGTGAGTTTAGTCATCACATTGCAATGAAAGGCCATTGCTCAAAATGTTAGAATTAATTAAAATGAAGGGTTACAATTGTATGAGTGTTTCAAAGATACATTGAACCAATCGGAGAGTCTATTTTTTATGATTAGCAATGTCAATTTGCAAATTTTTATAATTATACTATATGCTACAGCATATTTTCTTGACTGGATTACTGAGGTATCACAGGCTATCATTATTTTGCAGCAATAACTTCCAAAATGAACATTCAGATTCCTGACAGAGCTTCTAGTACGGGTACCAAAAATTCTGCTGGTATTACCAGTTTTCAAGCCACCTCCTTGATTACCATGCCAATAGATACTTCTTCAGTGTCTCGTTCTTCAAAACCAGGAATTGACAATACTGTTGTCTGCAAGCAAGGTGATAGAAGTTCAAGATCAGGCTACTGTTTTGCATATAAACCGGACAATCCATTATGTGAAGGTCAAGCTTTGAAAGACGACCTGGACTTAACTATCCCAGATGATGGGAGTGTGAGCAGTGACCAAAACGGTGTCCCAAGGTCAAGAAGTACTGAAGGTCATTATTTCACAAGAGTTGAAAGAAATATAGCTAGTAGGTCCGTCCAGTTTGCACCTGAGACATTGTCTAGAATAAACCCCTTATTACAGCAAGAGACAAATTGTGATGAAAAGTATAAAGAATATTCCTCTAATGGTCACAAAAATGACCATGCTACTAAAGAAAATATTTGTCCAAATTCAGGTAATGGTCTGATTATCGATGGTGATAATAATGTTGATGACGTATTCCGTTACAGTACAAAATCATCTCAGAGCCAGAACATAGTGCTCTCTCCAATTCCTGTAACCAACAAAATGACCTTTACTGGGCTTGTTTCTCATTCAGAGAGGCAAGGCACGAACGATGGTCAAAGACCAAGTAATATGCCAGTTGTAAACTATTCCGAAAGCCCAGAGTGTTCAAAACATATCTTTGTAACCCAGCCAAGCATGGGTACACAAACGCCTTTAAGAGTTGAAGCCTTAGATGTTTCATTGCCAGATAAGCATTCGCAGGAGGTTGCTGAAATATTAGATTATGTGAAGCAACAGGATAAGAGGGTTAATGCATTAAAAGAGGAAGTTGAAGAAAGGAACAACCGTATTGAGGAGTTGGTGGCAACAAATTCTAAGCTCGCTGCAAGAGTGATGGTGTTAGAAACGGCAGTGGCCTTAATACAAGAAAAATTAGAGTCATGATGTCCAGTCATGTTGCGAGGTTTGAGTTAGGAAACGTTATTTTTATAGATGTTTCACGCGATGTTTACTTCAAGAATTAGTGAATAGTGGCAACAAATTCTAAGCTCGCTGCAAGAGTGATGGTGTTAGAAACGGCAGTGGCCTTAATACAAGAAAAATTAGAGTCATGATGTCCAATCAGGTTGCGAGGTTTGAGTTAGGAAACGTTATTTTTATAGATGTTTCACGCGGATGTTTACTTCAAGAATTAGTGATAGTGGAAACAAATTCTAAGCTCAGTACAAGAGTGATGTTGTTAGAAACAGCAGTCGCCTTAATACAAGAAAAATTAGAGTCATGATGTCCAGTCAGGTTGCGAGGTTTGAGTTAGGAAACGTTATTTTTATAGATGTTTCACGCGATGTTTACTTCAAGAATTAGTGAATAGTGGAAACAAATTCTAAGCTCAGTACAAGAGTGATGTTGTTAGAAACAGCAGTCGCCTTAATACAAGAAAAATTAGAGTCATGATGTCCAGTCAGGTTGCGAGGTTTGAGTTAGGAAACGTTATTTTTATAGATGTTTCACGCGATGTTTACTTCAAGAATTAGTGAATAGTGGAAACAAATTCTAAGCTCAGTACAAGAGTGATGTTGTTAGAAACAGCAGTCGCCTTAATACAAGAAAAATTAGAGTCATGATGTCCAGTCAGGTTGCGAGGTTTGAGTTAGGAAACGTTATTTTTATAGATGTTTCACGCGATGTTTACTTCAAGAATTAGTGAATAGTGGAAACAAATTCTAAGCTCAGTACAAGAGTGATGTTGTTAGAAACAGCAGTCGCCTTAATACAAGAAAAATTAGAGTCATGATGTCCAGTCAGGTTGCGAGGTTTGAGTTAGGAAACGTTATTTTTATAGATGTTTCACGCGATGTTTACTTCAAGAATTAGTGAATAGTGGAAACAAATTCCAAGCTCAGTACAAGAGTTATGGTAGTAGAAACAGCAGTCGCCTTAATACAAGAAAAAATAGAGTCATGATGCCTTGTTCATATCGGCCAGTGAGCTCTCTCTATATATATCTGGAGCAAGAATTTCAGTCATTCGACCTGTAAGAAAAGTGTAGCCAAGATGGCGGAATTTACGTCCAATAGATAGGAATGTTTCGCTAATCAAGTTATGAGTTCATAAAACTATATAGTATTATTCTTTAAATCGAGGTCAAACTACGAAATTTTGGCAGCTTCGTGTTAACCGCGCTGTCGCGCAGACAAAAACAATAGGGACTAGAACTGACGTCCAATAGCTCCATCTTGACTTCAGTCACTTTTTGGATTCGAGTTCGCGCTCCAGATATATATGGAGCTCACTGCATGGCTATGTCCAGTTTACAAAATGCCCTCACTCCTCTGTTGTTAGCCTGCGAGCAGGCTCTCTGGGGAAAGAGAGCCTGCAAGGATCCCTATGATGATTGCGTGCCGCCCTTCAATTATGATGTCACAGGTCAATTAATAACAACCAATCAGCGCAGACCGGAATACACTACGATA